ACAGAAAGACAGAAAGCAAGGAGAGAGGAGAAAGGAGGGATCCTTGTTCATATCAGCCTGTAAGACCAGATTCGGGTTAAAGGGGAGCTGCAGTCCCAATTTCTCAGTCTGGTTATTAAATATTGATAAGAAAATAAATTCTTTGACAGAAAAAATATATATAAGTTTTGAATTAAATACAAAATTGTGAAAGTACTGTAAGTCGCCATGTTGTCACAATTCACTGATCTTGCCACTGGTGAGAGTGAGAGTGCCCACGCATTGTGACATGATGTGGCCCTTCCTGCTCACTAGTCACTGTAATGACTAATGTACGTTGCTGTGAAAATGTATGTGTATGTGCTTTGCTGCAACCAGCTGCAAAATATGCGTATTTACTGTACTTTCCTACTGTAGTTAGCTTCATTATACAGTACCTTTTGTACACAACTTATACACATTCAACTTAAGGAATAAATAAAAATGTGATGATTTTTAGACCCCAATATTCTTCCACTAGAAGTACAATACATTTTTTAAGTTAGAAATGTATTGGATTTGGAGCTGAAATGAACATTTTTGGATTATTTTTCGTGTTGTTAGAAATACAGCATAGTAAAATAATTATCTTTAAAATCAATTCCTTATCCTGTTTTTTAATGTCTGTGTCATTTTTCTCCAGATGTCACAACACTAAACACATGGGCCACCTTCACTACTTAACCATATGATGAATGCACAAATCACCTGCCATGATCTTAAAACACAGAGATATGTACATATCCTAAGCACCAGACCTGGAATAACTGGACTGACAAGACTTGACTCTTTTCTTTGCTGAGTGATATGGATTAAGATATCAAGGTAGTTGGCAGAGCAAACTGTATTTTTCTAGATACTGTACTGCTTCTATTATTTCTAAATACTGCTGGAGTAAAAGTGGTTAAAGTTGCAAGAAGCTGAAAGAACTCTACACTCTGCATGTTTGGTCTTCAGTGCAAATACACTAATTTTTCATTCCAGGTTGAATGTGTAAAGATGAAAGTCACTTGGTGCTCATGAACTGCATTGTATGAGCTAAAGAGAATTCCTGTCTGATATACTGTAGTCTGCCCTATAGAACCCCACATTATTTTACTAGTCCACAGTGGTAACTTTTAAGTGATTGTAACATCTTAAGATTTGTACTTTAAAGTATTATCTTAATATATATATAAAGATATTATGGTTTCTTTAGTACCATATTTGACTGGATTCCACCAAATATACCAAAATGTATCTGATTAATCCTATTTGCAATGTTTGAAGCAGTCAAGAGGCTTCTCTTTGTGGTGATTTAGAAGCACAGTTTGAATTTACATTGCAAACTCCAAAAGCTATGCAACTATTAATAGAGACAAAACAAGTCAGGGTAATTTGCACTACTTTGTAATGACATTGCAATACTAATACTACAGATAAAGCTTATACTAAAATTGTTTTATACACATTTGAACACAATTTGGGTACAGTACAAAGAATGCTGGGATTAAAGATGACAATGTTCAAATCTCATCTACAGTACAGTTAGTATCTTACAGAAGAGTGTTTGCTACCGTGACTTAAGAAGACAAGAAAATAGCTTTCTGCTAGGAATCATGTCACTCCTCTTTTTTCGCCTTAAGCACTGGAACCTTTTTTTTCGTAGCAAATGACTGAATGACTAAAGAAACTAGCAACAGCCAATCGGTCGGCTGTGTGTCAAGCCCTGTTGCTAGGTGTGGTGAGCTGGAGTGTATAAATACATCTTGTGAAAGTTACCTCACCCCCTTCAATCAGACATCGTAGGAAAATCTTCAGGTAACATCCACAAGAACTGGTAAGGTATTCCTGTATGGATTTTATTAACTGAATTATTTGAAAAGTGAGAGTAAGTAGTATGTTTTGTGCTTAAAAGAGCAGCATTGCATTGCAAAATGATCCCTTTATGTGAAAGTGGGCGTAGTACTAATTGTTGACTTTAAAGTTAGTAAGTGCATTTTTATAATGCTGAGATGTTGAGTTATCCATCCCCCTTGAAGTGTTCTTCAAATCGTACTTTACTGTTATATTCTGATGTCTGTTAAAGTTTGAATTTAAAAAAGAACACGTTTAAGAACTGTCAATCCCCAGATTTGTTTCCCCCTACTTTCGTATCTAATTTGGGAAGTCATTTTAATTTAAGACAAAAGTTATACTAGCATATCAAAGTCGTAATAAAATGCCACCGTTATTAGATCAAGCTCCTTAGGAAGTGACTTACATTTCTGTTGCATAAATGTACTGTTGCAAAAATTGGAATTTATTATCACCCAGATCTTGAAACGATTACTGTACTTCGCCAAAAAAAATGCGAAGAAGGAAAAGCTACAGTTAGAAAATCCCCAGAATCGGGCGTGGCACAGCCAGCTCCAATGTAGAAATCAAAGCTATTGCTTAAAGCCTACGATTATTTCTAAGAACCACTGTTTCTAAAGTGGTTATACTATCCTTACGACGCGATTAACAATGCCTTAATAGTTTGTTTCAATCGAAACCGTCTTAATACAAAATTTCTATACAACTTAACTTTCAGTTGTTTTTAAGACTCGATGGTTCCTTCTGAACCTTTTTAAGTTGGTACTTTTATATTCATAATAAGATATAAAGTACAAACATTTCCCTGTTGGAGAAGATGCATCATCCTTTGAAAGAATGACTTACCTGCCTGATTTTAGACATTTAAGATGTAGTGATTGTGCAACGTTTTAAAAAATGCCATGTTATCAGTACTTGAATTCAGATAAATATTGCCGTTATTAATTCATGTTTTTTTTGGTTATTGGACTGGACGTTATTCGACAGTTTGTAGGTGCACTGTCAAAACAAACATTTGTAATTTACAGTATATATGCATGAAGTTAATAAAGTTTAAGAAAACCTTGATGTGAAGAAAATGAAAGGCAATCTGTCTGCATGCTGTGATAATACAATAAATCTTTAGATTTATTAGCTTGTACTTGACTGGAACATTGAGTTGTATTTTTTTAGATGCTCTGAATAGATATCAAAGCTTTTCAAACAAGGAAAGACAATCCAGGGTATAACTGCTGTAGTCTCTTACTAAAGCCAGCATGTACAGCAGATAACATTAAAACAAAGTCATACATTGCAGCTGTGGCTCTTTCTCGGTATCCTATCCTTTTCTCTTTCAAACTGGGTTGATGATTGGATAGAAGGAGATCAGAAGGATGTATTTTATGGTGTATTCAGTCTGTACAACATTATTTTCCATGGTTACTTTTTTATCTCCTAGAACATCAGTTGAAAATGTCTTTCATTAAGGAGTTTCTTCAGCAAGCTGTGTATATGGGCATGTCTGATGACTTGGTAAGTTTTTCCGTTTGTATTCAGAGTTGCAGTGCTCCTTCAGTGTGGGCAAAGGCTGACACTTTAGTGCACAAAAAATGACTACTTAGGCTGATGATTCAGAGAGCATGGAATGTGAGCCACTCCCATGAAGCTGAAAATTCTAGAGTTTTGTGCCTTTATTTCTGATCATTTAATAAAAGTTTGTGTTTTACAGATTCTCCCATATGGCAATTTTGTTAACTGTTGCAAAGAGTATATATTTAAATGACCACCATCTTTTGACAGGGCACCTATCAAGGGACAGTCACTCCATTTGCACATTTTAGTGCAAGCAGTGATGCAGCAACTTTGGACAAAGCAATTAAAGCGAAAGGTGCGTAAACCGATGGCAATGCAGAAGAAATAAGTTTTGAGCAGTTTTTAAATGCATACAGATGTGGGGTTGAGGATAGTGACAGGAGTAATTTACATTGGCAATGTAGAACCAAGCTACATGGCTAACTGGACCAAGAAACATTTTTTATTTTTGGCCTCCAGACATCAGCCGGTCGTACGGGATTTGCTTATTTCCTGTTTATAGTAATTGTTGATAATGTCTTGATTGTTTAAACAGTAAAAGAGAACAGGCTAGAGTTCAAGTACGTAAGCATATACTTTTTTTATGGAGTTTGTTTTTGATCATGCAGTTGAAATTGCCATCAGAGAAAATGAATTCTGGGTAGATGGTTAAAATCATTGCATTCCTTTTTCTGTAATTTACACTACTTTTATGATTCCCTTTGCGAGTTACTGTATTGGCCACTACAGATAGGAAATTGGCTGAACTGAAGTTTAGGGATATTTAAATGCACATTCAAGAGAACTTGTGTAAACACCCCCTCACAAATGTACAGATACCTAATTCAAAACCAACAGTTTTATCTCAGTAGATCATTATGTACATAATGTTATCTACATTTTGCACAGATAGGTTTATTATTGTTCCTTGTGATACCAAAATACTGAAAGTGTTTCATAAAATTCCAGGTGCTCAGTTTGTGGTATTTAAGTGATTGCAAACTTTGCAAAATGAGTTGATTTAAGCAGCTGAATAAATAGCCATTCAAAAAGGCATGATTTGAATTAAAACGGAACAGTGGAAGACTGAACCATCCCAAGCCCAAGAAGTGAAAATCATTGGGTTGCCTCTGGCTTGATTGTGTAGGTTATCTGAGATGTGGCCTAGAGAATGTTCTGGTTCAACAATGTGTGGAAACAGGCACTGTCTTGGACACAGCATGTCTTGGAAGGCAGAAGGACACCTCAGAAGGCCCCAGGGGTGTCTGTATCTCCTGATCGTTTGAGTTTGCTTAATAGTGCTCTTGAGCAGATGTTTGTGTAGAGGGCAGTTCTCATCTGGCTCATTTCATTTTTCCTACACAAACAACTTGCCTACTGAGCACTTGGTCCTTCTTTCTCACAATCCTCCCTCAATCCCATCTTCACCCTTTCAGCAGCTCCCTGGCTCATTCTTTGTGAAGAGAAGAGGGGTCCTAGCATCCTTGCCTTCACAGGCAGGCTGCTGTTCTTTCAGCCTCTCAGCCCATGCCAAATTAACTTATCACGTCTTTCTCCGTCTCATTAGCTTTGGGTGAACTATTGAAATCACTTTGAGCAAATTTGCTACAGTATGATAAATTCTAGTAACCTATAATATATGCGTGACAGAATTACAATAGGTCACCTCTGAATGAAAATCTGCATTTTTCAAGACTTCAAAGGTATCATTGATAGCTGACTACAGTACCGTCTTGTGGGTCAGAGAACATCTGGAGTGGCAGCAAAAAACTGTTGCAAATAACCAAACTCGCATGTATAACCAAGTCCACCCCACACCGTCGCATAATGTACATTAGTATATGTTATGTATGGTTTCATGTCATAAGTAGACCTCCTTTATATGATAACATACTGAAGCATTGACTAACTTCATTTATATAACTTTGATCACATTAAAGAAATAGAGGTAATTACAAACTTATATTAATCAGTTAAAATAAACATGAATTCCTCCTGTGTATCCAGCCTGCACTTTCTATGCCTACATTATCATGCCATTAAATGCAGAACATTTTTATTTTATTTTCAGAGTCTGAAAGAGGGTTTCTGATGTGTTGGCAATGTGAGGAAAAAATAGCTAAATGTATTTAAAAAAAGACATGTATTATATACAGTATACTATAGACAATTAGTTTTTCCATCAGTTCTAAACGGAAATTAAATTATGCAGCTGTGAATCACAGCACTGTACGGCTTGACAGTTCATAAGCTTCAAGCTAAATGTACTGTACTGCACTGAGTGAGTCTGAAGCAAGCCCGATGGAAATCCGTCCCATTTTGAAAACTATTAGTGGGGAAAAAATGGTAGTCTTAGCACTCAAAACTTGCATCTCTAAACTGGATGTGATTATGCTGTATTACACTGATTCCTCAGCCATAGCAGCCCAGTAATGTACAAAGTACACTGACGTGGCGAACACAAACTCGTCTCTGTCGGCAGGCTATCACTGAATTACACCAAAATATTGTTCTGAAGCATCTGGATTTTTTTTTTCCCTTAACATACTTAATACTTAAGAGCATGGCTGAGACTCTTGTGTGTTTTGACAACTGAATGCTTCCTTTTGTCTGCTTTCACAGTTCTTCTTGCACTTTCATTCCAGTACCATTTGTATGTTTGTTTATTCTAGGAGTGGATGAGAACACCATTATTGAGATCCTGGTGAAAAGAAGCAACTCTCAACGTCAGCAGATCAAGGCAGCCTATCAGCAAGCTTCTGGAAAGGTGAGAAAGCAGTTTTGATTGTGTCTTTTGCTCACTGTTGACCTTTTGCGCTTTTGAAGTGAAAAGGTGGAGTGGGACACTTGGCAAAAAGGGCTTTACATAGATTGTTTCATTTCTAATACTTTGTAGTTTCCTTTTTTTTTTTAGCCTCTGGATGCAGCCCTGAAATCGGCACTGAAAGGGGAACTTGAAGATGTTGTCCTCGCGTTGTTGAAAACCCCAGCACAGTACGATGCCCATCAGCTTCATTATGCCATGCATGTAAGATGCATTAGGGAGGGGAGAGTTTTCATTCAGTCATTTACTATTTTACTGATGAAACCCCAACAGTTGAGAGAAGCCTGTTCTCTCTATCCAGTGGAAAGCTCCTACAACGTTTTCAGTGTAATTGACTCAGATTACTGTGACATTCTGAATACAACAGTAGAAGTGAATCATTTAGGGAATATCAATTAAATGGCTTGTGGTTCTTCATGAATCTAATTTTTTAGTTCGTATTCAGATTCTTGTTTTATGTCAAGCATGGTGATTGGGGGTGTTTTAAAAGTTTATTATCAGGAAGTGCAAAAGGGAAGCAGCTGTCATTTCCGGACTCAACTTTGGAAACTAGAAGCTGCTTTTAATGAATTTCAATTCTCATTTTTAAGTGGCTAAATTGCAAGCAAATAAGGAACATGTAGCAGGAAGAAACTGAAAAGGTGCATAAGCTACATAAGTGTAAAACATAAAATAGTCAACCCTTTAAGTCACTATGTCAAACTACAACATAAATCAAGTACGTCTAATCCAACCTAAGATATTTACCTACAGTAACTTCCTTTCAGGGTCTTGGAACTGATGAGGACACCTTGATTGAGATTCTGGCATCCAGAACTAACAAAGAAATCAAAGACATCAAAAAAGTCTACAAGGAGGGTAAATGTCACACAGTTATCCAGCATTAGGTGGAATTATTAAGATTTCTTTCTCAGACTTTTTCTTCTTGCAGAGTATAAAAAGGAGCTGGAAGATCACATCAAATCCGATACAAGTGGAGATTTCAGAGCTGCTCTCCTGTCCCTCTGTAAGGTAAAGACATTTGTATTGGGGGGGTTATAATATGCACCTGTTTTGTTGTGCCATCTATAGCCATAATTGAGAATTTTTTTCTTTTTCCTTCTCCTGTTTCAGGCATCCAGAAGTGAGGATAGTCTTGTGAATGAGGAACGTGCTGACACTGATGCAAGAGTAAGATTGTAGTTCCTTCTCCATGACCCTTTTTAAAGTGTAATTTCCAGTTTTTCTTCCCTTGGTCTTGGTGGTTTCAACAAATAGTTTCATATTGCAAAGTAAGCAGAGCTCAAATAATAGCAGAAGGTCTTTTGAGTGCCTATTAGCAGTTGCAGTGTAAGCCTGATGACGGGATCTTGTTCCTCAGGCTTTGTATGAAGCTGGAGAGAAGCGAAAAGGCACGGATTGCTCAGTCTTCATTGACATTCTCACTACCAGGAGTGCTCCACAGCTTCGGAAAAGTAAGAAGCATCAATTACTCTTGTAGGGAGATGCATCAGTGTGTGTTGGCTGTAAACGATAATTTCATGTTGAAGTAAATAAAACCATTTTGGCTGGAAAACCTCCATTATCCCACCTGAAACCTTAAAGGTTGAATCATTGTTTTTCTTTTCAGTGTGGAATCAATCTTTACCCATTACTAGATTTTTTTTTTAAAGCAAACCATTGAAAGCAGTAGCTAGGCCTTTGATTTAAAAAAGACGCAAGTCATTTGGTAAGTATTTGATTTGTTAACTTTTGAAGTTTGATTCCAGTTATGAATTTAATTTTGTGAGGTGAGTCCTTACTGTGCATATCAATATTTGTACATTGTAAACAAAGCTATTGAGCAATCTTTTGATTCTGAAAGAGCAGTGAACTAACCCACTGAAGAAGCTTTTAATGTTTATCAGCACTATATGGCTTGTGTATTGAATCACTGCAACTATATTGTATCGTATGTATGGTGCACGATTCTTCGATTTTGCTTCAGTCATCACAAAATGTTTAATTACTCTGATTCTCTTTACAGCCTTTGAGAGATATACAAAATATAGCAAGCATGATGTGTCACAAGCAATTGACCTGGAGCTGAAGGGTGACATTGAGAACTGCCTGACAGCTGTTGGTGAGGAAACCTCAGAGACTTCATTAAAAACTCTTCAACTATCTGTTCAAGTGATCCTAATACTGCATTTTGATAAAATTATCAGTTATGTAATTTTAATTTAGTCTGTATCTTACATGGTGGCATCTTATTTTTTAAACATGTTTAGGTGAAGGGAAACTTTTGATCTTGCCCACTTCTGCTCTCCTGCATATAAATATCACCTGCTGAGGACCCCTTTGAATTTTTCTTGCATCCCTCCCACCACCCTATTTTCTCTCTTGCTGCTGCTACCTGGCTTATTCCCTGTGAAGAGAGGTTTGGGGAATGGTGGGAGAATTAGGATTTTGTCAAACCTCTGAAATAACATTTGTATGAATCTTGGTTCTGGATATTCTGCTTACTCTTGGCAAACCTTTACTAACATAGTCATGTGAATTCTTAAACCTGTTGTGTTAATGGCACAAATGTGCGCTGTGCCACCTAAGCTACGGTAGGCCAAAAAGACTCTAGTAACTGAAACAATCAGTCCTTTAAAAGACTTAATGTCTTCACTTCCTAAATCCTGCCAATATATAATGCCTTACATTTCAGTACCATTTTGACTTAGGTTTGCATTCATTTCATAAAGTACAAAATTACAAATTACATTCACAGCTTTTGCTTAGTGAGTGTATTTTAATTTGAGCTTTTAACTCATTTTTAAAAAGTCATAGTGCAATATCGATATGAATTGTATCTTTTTTTTTTCCAGTCAAATGTGCTGGAAGTAAACCACCTTTCTTTGCTGAAAAACTGTATCTATCAATGAAGGTAAGTTGTTTTTTTTAAGTAAAAAATCTTGGTCATTTTGAAAATGTCTACAGTATATCGCAAGTTCATTTTTTTTGCTTTTGCCTTAATTCTCAATCAAAACAGAAAACCAAAACTTTTACTACATACTGTAATATCTGTTTTGTTTGCTTCCCATACAAGATTTTGACCGAACACTATAGTGTGTTATGGATCAAGAACTTAATGAATTAAATCTTCTCATTAAGTATGGTGATTCTTCTCACAAATTAGTAATTTTATGGAAATTACAGTTGTGCCACTGAATTTTAAATCTTACCTTTAGCAAGTAGTTGATGACCCTTGATACAAAGTAAAATGTCACAGCAAGGAAGCCAGACCTAGTTCTGGATCAAATCTTCTATTTGGCCAAAAATAGCAAGTTGCATAACATGACCTGGTTTAAATCAAAATAGTGATCCTATTTCAAATCCTGGATTTGAAGGATTCCTTCTACTGGGGTAGAAGGAAAGGGACACTGGCAAATAAGTCTGTTGTGAATTACTGCCTTTGATGGGTCTTAAATTTTAATCAAATCTGGGTTGTGACACAAAGTGCTAGTCCTCTTATTTAATTTTAATCAAAAACTTAGAAGTATGGTCATTCTGCACCCAGAAAACAAAATCCATCACTCAAGACATGCTTGCTAATAGAAAACAATGCCATTTACCTTAACCTGGTGGCCATTCCTTCAACATCTCCACCTCAGTGCCAATAGAAACGAGATTTAAAATATATAGGCCCCCTCCAGGTTTACTTTTAAATCTTCAAGGTTTTTTTTCTTCCACTTTGCTCTTAGGGATCTGGAACAAGAACTAAAATACTGACGAGGATTATGGTTTCCCGCTCAGAGATTGATTTAAAACGAATTAAAGAGGAATACAAGAAGAAATATGGAAAAACCCTTTATCAGGATATCCTTGTAAGTGACTCTAAAACTAGTTTGAAGTATGCTGGCTGAAACGAGTAGTTTTTAGCTTTGATGTTCACACTTTCAATTTGCTTCTTAGGGGGAAATGCAACAGCTATAGTTCCTCACAGTATTGAATGAAAACACCTGTACATGGAAGAAGAACAATCTGTTTGGTATTCAATGTGAACATAATGACCATTTGTCTGATTTTTTGTGAATCATTATAGTTTTGTGCTTCAAGAGTACTTATTTATACCAGCTATTGTCTGACAGTATAAAATGGATTCTAGAAAAGGTAAGATACACCTAGCAGAGGCAAACTTTATTCCTAATATCTCTTCTTAGAACTTAATGTAGGTGTAGGACTTTGTGCAGTATCTACTTCTGATGCTTATTAACATTAGAAAAATGCTCTCATCCCTTGACATAGGTATGGATTGCATAAATGGAAAACTGCATACTTTGGGATAATTAGAACACTTACTCTGCCTTTTATCTACCTCCTATCCATTGTATCCATCATACAAGTTTTCTCTTTTAGAAATAGACATCTAGTGTTTTATAGTTTCACAGTTAACAAAGTCCATACTACTGTACTTAATTTATTACCAGTTGCACATATTTCTTAATGTTTTAAAGAGTTTGGAGACATAAGTGTGGCTCAGTTGGTCATAAGAGCAACATCTTAGCCTCCAATTAAACATTTGCTGCACCACCATGTATGACTAAGGAGTGTGTGAAAAATACAGTAAAAATTTGAATAGTTAAAAGCATTTAACATTGGTTCATAATGGCATTATACATGTTTACAGCCAGTGGTGTTTTGTATGGGCAACCATTACAAGAAGAGCACTTAAACATTGCGTATGCTTTGTGAATTATCAAGACAGTTACCAAGGCTCTAGGCCTTTGACATTAATCTAACATTCAGTACTCAAAATGAAAGGGGTGGCACAGTGATGCAGTAGTTAACATTGCTGCCTCGGTGCTGGGGCCCTGGGTTTCAGTTTTTGAGGTGCTATATGCATGAGGTTTGTATGGTCTTCATTTTTGTGTGGGTTTCCTCCCGCAGTCCAAAGATGTGCTGGTCGGTTAATTGCCTTCTGGGAAATTAGAACTGTTGTGAGTGTCTGCCCTGCACCCGGTGCTTTCCAAGAATAGGCTCCGGGCCACCATGACCCTGAATTGGATAAGTGGTTATTGGAAGTGGTGTGAAAATTAAAAATGTTGACAAACAAGAGGACACCACTGAGTCCATCTAACCATTTGGTTACTTGTAGACTCATTTGAAACTGAATACTTTCTAGCGAACTAGATTCTAAGCATTCAATTCTGTATTCAGGGAAAAATCCATTGTGCATTAACAAAACAAATCCATCAATACTATGAATTAAAATATTGATTCTAACAACAGTTTAAACATTGTATACTAAAACAGTAGTTTAGGTTGTATCATGAGCCATTTAACATGTATGCTTCTATCTTTTAGGATGATACCAAAGGAGATTATGAGAAGATCCTGCTAGCTTTATGTGGAAGTGAGAACTAAGATGAGGGTGACAAAGTCCTGGAAGCCAAAACAATTAAACATCTGCTTCTTGTATAACATTTAAAGTCTGTTAGATATCCTTTTTAGCATGCAGTTGAACACTTTGATTGGAGCCCACTGGTGCAAATAATACTCTATAATAGCACAGTGCTGTTTTTTTTTTCTTTAAAGTGAAGTAATCAGAACTTCAGTTTTCTTCCCTGCTTATATGTAATCATTTAGAAAACATTGGATTTTCATTGAAACTTCAAGGTTTTCTTTTATTTTTTACCTGGTAGACTGTAGTTCTTAGGACTGTATGCTTAAAACTAATGTAAGAATTGCAGCTTAAATGAACCAAAAAGAAAGATATTCCACAAAGGAACTAGGGTACTTCATAGCTTCATTTCAAAATAGAAATATTGGAGTTTCTACAGTAACTACTCCCAAAACTTGTGCTTTCTTCCAGAACCATAGACTTTTGGAAAAGTTTTTGCTATCATTGTAGATTTCACAGTAAATTGGATGGGACAGTGTGGAAAAGTGTATCAAGATTGCAACTGAGAAATGGTGCTAAAATGTTTGAGCACATTTTTTAAAAAATACTGTCCATCCAATGGGAATTAATGTTTGTAGTGAGCTTCATTTGTACTACAAATGTAATTATGCCAACCTGGCAAATGTAATTCCTGTAAATTGTACTTTTTCTTTAAAGATGAAATACCAGTACAATACTTTAGTTTCATGCTTGCTCACAGCTTATATTTAAGTAAAATATGCTGAGCAGCATAGCCTACAATACACTCTGATCTTTGAAATAGCAATGTTTTGAATCCAGCTTTCTCTAAAGGAAATGATACAAATATTTGATGTAGTCATAGTAACTGCTGCTTTGTGGCTTGTATCCCTCTGACTCATACTCTGGTGGGACTTTTTAATATACTGACTGCTACAAGATTTGCAGTTCAAGTCTGCTTTGACTAATTGTAAACTTGACAAATCTCCTTCCTGAAATAAAGTTATTATATTTGCAGTTTGGCTGCTGTGGTATTCTGTTCTCTTTGACTAGTTAATCAAACTGCCTTCTAAACATTTGACAAAAATTAAAAAGAAAATTTGTTTGCATTCTTCGGACATTTCTTAAAATAGTAGCCTAGTCTTTCAAAATATTTTTCTAAATTATGGATTCCTGGCACTTCTACCATGCTAATTGTAATGAAAAATTGGGGATAGTACAATTTTTCCTTAATGTCCATCTGTGAATGACAGGACAGGGAGCTGAATCACCTAATCTAGAGTGGATTTAGTAAATATAAAAAAAATTCAAATGTTACAATATAAATGTAAAACGGTGAACTAGGCACATGTTAGAAATAGATGCAACACATTACTGAGTGAGCCCTTTTCCTGTTGAGAAGTACAGTAGGTCTGGACTTCAGTTGAGAGAGAGCTGACAGCAAGGGAGTGGGCTCTTTTAGTGGGTGTGTTTATCTGCATTGCTGTACTGTTTTGCAATAAGGCTAATAAAAAATTACATATTCCCAAGAACCAACACTGAGTGCTACAGTATACATATACAGATAGGACTATAGGTGTGTCTGGTTTGTCCGTTAGCTTATGTCATTTCATGTGACGTTACAGTGTGTCTGTTGAAATATTGAGGCACCAGGCATTGCTCTATCAAAGAGGAGTTTCTTCATCGTTCTGCACTACTTATAGGTGGGAAAATATACATAACATGATCGCCTAAGAGTAAAACTGAGAGTTGTTTCATTTATTTTTTTTTCCTTTTAATGCTAATAGTGGGCATGAGGATATTAAAGCTATAGCCAGTATAGTACAGGAGGTCAGTAAAGGATTTAATGATTCCTTAGTTCTGTATCACTTCTCTGGACACTCTACTCTTCTTGCTCCTTACAAGTAATGAGGTCTCCCTTCCACCTCCACCACTGTGTACACCTACCTGGATGCTGTAATGACCCAGGGATTTTTAATGACCACAGTGAGTCAGGACTTGTAAAAAAAACCTGTAGAAAAGTCAGACTCCTTGTCAATTTAACCCGCTTTACTGTAAATAATTGCCTGACTTAGTGTGGGTGCCAGTCTTATTCTTATTGTTTTAAAAAACAGAATTGTTGCTTCACAGCTCTTAGATCCTGGGCGTGATGAAGACCAGGATGCCCTTCTGTATGGTGTTTACATGCTCTTCCTATAGCTGTGAGCGGTTTCTCTGGGTGTTTAGGTTAATTGATTGTGTGTGTTTATGTGCCTGGGGATGTACTGGTCTCCCTACAGGTGTATCCTTCCTCCCCCTGTGTGACGGGTTAGGTTCTGTATCACCGGAGCAGTTATTGAAAATGGATTGATATATAAATATCATTTTAGACAATGCAAATAATACAACATTGTATATAGTGAATATACTTACAATGCAGAATATATACAATTATGGAACAAGAGAAGAAAGAAAACACAACGTTTCAGCTGTGGAGCCTTCTTTGGGTGTGTTTCATACACTATATAAAATTATGAATTACTGTATCGCCAAAATGAAAATTGCATCACCTCAATACAGATTTTCGCTTAAAAGTACAACGTTTCATTGCAACATGTAATACGATATAATACATACACTATAGTATAAAATACACCAAGTGAGAACACACGCAACGTGTAGATCCCGGTACTGTATGTCTTTTTTGTAAAATGTATGGAAGAACGTTACACTAAACCGAATTACTTCCATATGGACAACGATTCAAAGACATTTTGACGAGCACATTACTTCATTAGTGCTTGCCGGTATAGGCTCCGACTGCCCCGCGACCCTTAAGTGGATGAAAGCTCTTAGAAAATGTGTGTATGGATTATTTCATTTGTATCTCTTTAAAACAAACAAAAAAGTGCATTTCAGACACGTGGCGAACAAAAACATTTCGACCAGATGGTGGCGCTGCCGTTTTTTTCGCATAATTATTTTTCAGACGCACTCGCTGCTCCTTCCTTGTGCTAGTCTTTATTAACCTCACAAATGAAGTACTGAATTTTAAAACCGCCGGACATTTCCGCTTGCCAGGGTTCAGTTTTGTGTAGTGCTAGTAGTAGTTAGTGTGGTAGGCAGTAGTTAAGAAATGCTTCATTCCCTTACGTAGGCGCTATTTCCAAATCTATTTACTACTTTGTGTGAGGAATTAAATTTATGTCTGGTTATATTTACGCCTTCAGTGTTTATTTTCACTAACTGCATTTCCAAGATAAAATTAATAAGGAACTACTTCCAAGACAGTGTCGCAGTGCTATTAAAAAACGTTGAATTAACGCAGTGAGAATCTGTAACGATTTTGTTTCGTTTAGACTGTCTTGTTCGCTGCATTTACAACAGATTTTTTTATGAAAGGTATACCGTACTACAGCATGAATCTCGTTGTAGAAGGTACTATTACTCCAGTGCATTCCTTTAACCATTTTAATATTACGTATTGCGTTATTAATTAATTGATAGCCCTTGAATTAGTCCTTAAATTGATGCAGGTTCATTTTCGCTGTTGCACCGAGCTGCAGGTAACGATGACAAAATGATGATCTTAACTGCACAGCTGAAGTGATTGCAGCTTTCCGTTTTTCTTTACCTTCTTGGAAACATACAGGCACATTTTCATTCATCCATTATAAATATATAACTTCTTCTAGGCTGCTAGTTTCACGCATTTATTACAACTGTTAGAACGCAGTGTTCTTTATTTGTTTGTAAATTTAAGAACTGTATTGCAACTGGGTTTGTTTTTAACATGTCGTGCATAAATGTTAAATAGATGCATCATGAAGTTATACAGTTGAAGAGTACAATGAATTCCAAACTCACTGTATTGGCCCTTCTGTACTTTGTGCAGGGCATGCCTTACGGTCTGCAGTCATCTTTACTACCTATTTATCTCAGGACATCAGGACTTTCATTGACCAAAATCAGTTTGACCAAAGCTCTCTATTTCCCTTGGATCCTGAAATTAATCTGGGCTCCTTTTGTGGACAACCTAGGCACAAAGAAGAAATGGCTCTTGATTACTATGTCTGGACTGGCAGTGACGTGTTTAGTTAATGCTCTCTTGTCTCCAGATACTGACTTTGCAGCTGTTGCTCTGGCTTTGCTGACAATGAACTTCTTATCTTCAGTTCAGGACATTGCTGTTGATGGCATTGCTGTGCGACTCCTAAGGCAGGAAGAAGTGGGTTATGGAAACACAGTGCAGGTTGTGGGGTATAAGATAGGCTCAGTGCTTGCAGGTGGAGGCCTTCTTACAGTAATGGATGTGATTGGATGGAGCTCCCTCTTTGTCATGCTGAGTACTGTATACTGTGTTGTAGCACTGTACACCTGGAAAACACCAGTGCTTAACATAAACTTTATAAATCAAAGCAATGAAGAGAAAAGTCAGAAGCACACCTTAAATCCCTGGAAGATATTGCAAGAACTTTTGTCTGTACCTGGCACACAGTGGACTCTCGTTTTCGTTCTCATATATAAATTAGGTAAGTTTACAGTATTGAACTATTGCAGTGTACCTTAACAGTAATATAACTGCTTCAGACTTTTGAAATGCACATTTATGCTGTTTGCGTGACTAGCATTTAAAATTGTGTTCTGGTATTCAATAATTAGCTCCAATGTTGTGTTGTTTTAGTTCTGTTTTGTATTACTTATTTTTTCAGTGAAAATAACAAGACTTCACAAACCCATAAAAGAGACAATGGTAGACATTAGGTTTATTGTAAATGCAATGAATTACACAAAGGGATCACTTAGGAGTTGTGCAATAACAATAAAAAAAATGTGTACGCATTGAACTATTTTAGAATGTTTAGGTACATATTTTAAATCTGCAGAAGCTTGCTATTATTCAAAATTGAGCTGACATGCAGTACGACATTTTGTACATGGACAGTATGTTTCTTAATGTTTTGTTTAAACTGTAGATCACCCACCCATGAGCAACACTGTATATTATGAAATGGGGGAAAAAAAAGTTTCAGATAAAAATAGTTTTAAAAATGTACATAGGAATCCCCCTGTTTGGAAGATTTGGTTATCTGTACATTCTCCTTCATTAATTCTATCTGTATACTGTGTGCATTTGGAATTTCTGTGTTTTTTCTATTTATTGTCCACAAGGTGTAGCTGTTGACATTTTAGTTGCATTTGTTTGCCGCTCCAGGAGAAAGTTAATTGGATGAAAGCGGTTTGTGGACTAGGTTTTACCAATGAAACCTGTAATTTTGTCACAGTAATTTGGATAGGTGAGCCTTTTTGTTTTGTCAATAAGAACCTCTTTCATTCTCTATATTTAGCAAACAGATAAAGCCCCACACTTTATAGATCTTAGTCTGAAGCATACTGAGGTAATGAATTAATATTAAAATATGGTTTTGCACCAGAAGGGGATTATATTAGGATTACAGTTTCTTTGTGTCTGTCATATTTTCATGGTAACTGGAATTTAGAAGTGCATGTTTCTTTTGGTGCATCAGTGTAGATATGGTATAGATATAGATAAAGTAGAATGCAACAGCAGTCCAATACACCACGATTGCCGCAACAGCAGACAAAACAATAAAAACTGCATATTGAAAAAAATCTGTCTGGGCAACCTCAGAGCAGGACATGATCTCTCATTTTGAGTATGTTGTGGAAATGGTAATGAGTAAGTCTGCATACATCTAGATATATTCTTACTAGATGGAATTGTTTGCTGTGGCAGACGATGCACGCTTGAGTGCACATATTTGTATGTATAAAGAAGAGAGTTAAAGAAGAGATTATCATCAGGCAATGACTAACTCAATAATAGAGAAAGAATTCTTTCTATTAATCACCCTGACCCCTCCACCCCCCTCACCCCCAACCTCAATCCACCCCCACCAATCCTGCAGTGTAATTAAAATCAGCAACCGACTGTAATCTTCTTGCTTAACCAGTTAGGACGCCTGCGTTGACCCCCATGCATTGAAAGGCCATAATGATGTCTGGTCAGCTTCCATGTCTGGATTGTGCACAGGGACCCTACATCCCTTGTGCGTAAGTGGGAAATATTCCCAAAGCTCGGACAGACAAGCCTGTGCTGGGAATGGCACAGGTGGCGGAGATGGTATTTGGGGAAAGGCACGGCTCACTAGGGAGGCTTTGGCTGCTTCTCCTTCCTGCACAGCAGGAGTCACTGGCGAGAAGCAAATATTTTCTAGATGGGATGAAGTGGACGGCTGGGAATTTTAAGTGAATGAATTAATTAATATCCACCACGCGGCAGCTCCAGTGTTTTCAAATGTATGGAGTTTGCACCCAAAACTAGAAAGGAAGTTGAGGCCCTAACGATTCGGTCTCTGTATTTACACTGGTTTGAATGCAGTGCGGAAGTAATATAAGGGACAATGTAAGAGTCTATTATTTAAGTATGACGTTTCAACTGTAGAGCAATATTTACAGATTTGTATATGTTATGTACAGCCCATAAGTAATATTTATTTTAATTGTAATAACGTTTTGAGAATTAACCTTGAAGAGCTTGGTTGTAGCAAAATGTTCATGTTTTTTAGGGAGATTAATACTTTATTTCTGTTATACTGTAGAGACATTTAATTTGAACAATGAAGTGCACAAAGCTGGAACCGAGAAGGCACATGCTCACTGTTGAGTGATTGTGCTTTGTGCTGTGTGATGAACATAGTATTTAAATGCATGGAAAAAAACCTAACCTGGCTCATATTTAATCTTTATTTGCCCTTCATATGAAGGTTATTGGATATATAAAATCAAAATCAATGATCATCCTGGGAAACCTGTGAAGGTGGGCATTTATTTTCTAAATTTTTGTACTTGATTTTAATGATAATGACCATAGAAAAACAATTTAGAGAAAAGGAACATAAAAGAACAGTTATATATATGGTATATACAGTATATGATGAATTTATTAACATTAATACGGTAACTTGTTTCAAAAGTATTGTTTTTCCATGTGCAGGGACAAATCCTAATATTTAAACCTATATAAATGTTTGCATACAGCCATCTATCTGTGTATGTGAGTATATTTCTAGGTAAACATCAGAGTCTATGATTGAAGTATGAAGCGAGCCTTCTAGTGTGCTCATGCTCAGACTGCACAGCTAAGGTCTTTATACTGTGACAGAAGTGCCCTTGCTGACCTGAGTCTGGAGCGGACACGCACACACAGTCTACACTGTAGCTTAATCACCCGGCTGAAACTCACTCATCCATAGACATTTGCTGCTCTAAGAGTATTTATAGAATAAAATAATCAGTGTTTTGTTTGAAATCTCCTTAAAAACAAATTTGTTTCAAGTACTGCTGCAAATCAGGCTAAGTTTCTGTCTCAATTTCAAATCCGGATCGTCGTCAGTGCCCCCGCCTGCAGTGCCTTTTTATTCTGAGAGAAGATGTAATTTATCAACCATAAGCTTATTCTATAAAGACAGGGGATATGTTCTCTTTGCACAATGATTGTTCATGGAGTGTTCTGAATATTATTAGCACTTCTTTTGTTATGTTATATAATCACTTTTTCGTCGTGATTCTATTTTAAGAGATTACCGTTGGTTCCATAATTCAATTTATTGTTGAACAGAAATGCCCTTCCAGTAATGTTTCCCCCTGGGGTTTGGTTTTGCTGCATTGAAAATTTCTTGTCTGCACTGTTTCAGTTGTCATATTTTTCATTTGACCTGAGGTATTGAGCCTGTCTTTCTCACAACAGTAACAGTTGAAGTAGAGTTTTCCTGTTACATTTAACTAATAAATGTTGCCGTACTTAACAGTGGTTTAGTTAATGCAAGCATATGTACACCACTAGTGCAAGATGTTCCTTACCCTTCCAAAAGGAGTATTATTATAATACAGTACATTCAATATATTGCACCTTTTTTCCATACAATAATATAACATAAGACTTAATTATATGGATACTGTACATATGTATTGTCAGACACCTCTCTGTAGATGTCTTTATTAGCTACAGTGTTGGGACTCATACACAATTTACATGTTCTTCATTTATTAATAAATGTGTTCTTTTGTGTTTCAATGGAAATGCCATTACAGAGCTTTTTTATCTGCTATATACTTGTCTCTGCTTTTTAAATCCCATCTTTGATCAGTTCAGGAAGTGTTTGGTAGAGATGCCAGATGAAGTTTGTTTTAGGTGAAAATAATAAAGAACACAGATACTGGAGGAAACAATACAGTAAGTTGGTTGACAATACTTCATTTTTTTTATGGGTTGATTTAGGGGTATTTGAGAGACTGATACAGCCGACTATATTATTTTCTCTCAAAACCCTTAACCTCCAAGCAAGCAAGAGGATCGGTAAGACTCACACTTAAATGACTGTTTGCTAGGTTTAAGCTGCCTGCTTTTGTCTTTGTTTCTTTGTGTTTGTAACCTTGTACACAAGTAAAGCAAGTAAAGCTCATGAAGTCATACAGATTAAAAGTAGCCCAAATGTCCAGTGTAGGACATAATATAAAATAGTACAAATGTATTTCTTTGATATTTCACTCAAATATGCTTTGGGAAAAAACGAAAATAATCATTTCTCAGACCAAAAAAATCATTTTTCCCCCCAATAAAAGTAGAATCCTTCAGTGCAAGAATGCAGTTACTGTATGCCTTTGTCCATTCTACTCTAGTCTGTGGAAACAGTGAAACTCTTTTTAGTGTGTAGTTTTTTTATATGACTTTTTGGTATTATTCACAAGTTGAATACTGAGTACATGTTTGTGATTTGATTAAATGTCTGGATGTTGTGCTCTATAGGTGAACAAGGCGCTATGAGCATGTTCCCTCTGTTCCTGCTGGACAGTCACATGTCTGCTCGGGAGCTGGGCATCTGGAATGGGATGGTGGCAATGGGGTTTTCTATCCTGGGCTCCTCTATTGGTGGACTGCTAATGTCAAAATACAGGTAATGTTTTACTTCTGACTATGCAAAAGTGCAGTTTACCATCTCAGAGATGTGCTATTTTTAAAAATTAATTCCCTTTTCAAAAATATCTTTTAACTCCATATTAGATCCAGCAATGCATGCATTACATGCTGTACATAGCAATTTGTTTTCACCAGTTTTATTAGAAGATAACCTTACTGATAGTAGAGCAGAAAATAGAATGTTTATTTACAATATTTATTTATTTAGATAGAAGGGACAGGAGGTGCTTCTTAATGCATTTGGTTGTGAGAGTATGGAACAAGGTACCCAGGTATGTTGATGCTTGTAAACTAACTAGCTATCTTATTATTGTAACTAAACAATATTATGAAGAACAGGACATCATTTCACCATAAGAACTAGAAATAAATGCCAATGTAAAGGAAAAACCAACATACGTTGGGGCACCATGAACTGCCAGAACAGCTTCAGTGCACCTTGACGTAGATTCTACAAGTGTCTGTAACTCTGATGGTGGGGTGAAGCACTTATTAAATGACAAACTCCAGCATTTGGTTGTTGTGTCGATGGTGGTAGAAAATTCGGTCTCAGGCACCGCTCTACAATCTCCTAGAAGTGTTCAACTGTGTTGAGATCTGGTGATTGGGAGGGTTTACATTGTTTTCATGCTCATCAAGCCATTTGGTGACCACTTGTGCCCTGTGGATGACGACATTATTATCCTGGGAGATTCCACTCCCGTTAGCATTAGTATGGGGTGAACATGATCACTCAGCATGGCTTTGTATTTATAGGCATATACCCTGCCCTCTAAACAATTGAGTGGACCTAAACCATGCCAGGAAAATGCGCACAACCCTTCACTGTGGGGAAACAAGCACTCGAGCCTGTCAGGTTCTTTTGGCTACACTTGTTGAGAACAGGGTGATGACTTATCTGATCATATAACATTTTCCACTGCTCAGTAGACCACTTTACTCGCAAAAGTGTAATTGGGGGGTGGGTTTGCACTGCAACCCAGTTCCTCTCTATGAAGTTCTAAATGGATTGTTCTTGATGAAACTGCCTGCTCTCACCTTAGATTGACACGACATAGTCAGCTGGTTCACAATTGCTCATCTCTTTGCCAGGCTTTGGCAGCATCTCGAACCAATGCAAGGACATCACTGTTGAGTATGCGTTCCCCTCCGCAGTTTCCCCTAGCTGATGATGTCTTTCACTCAGACTTATATGCCAACATCACCTTACCCACTGTTCCTCATGAAACATCAGCAAGTTGAGCAGTTTTTGTCACTGAAGCTCCTCCCTAACGAGCCCCAACAACCACCCTTGATGCTGACCAAGGAGGAACACTGTGCCTCAAACACATTTGTATTAGCTATTTTCTGTATGCATTAAGACAAGCATGAAATCTCATGGTTTCAAATTTTTATGTTAATTACTTATTTTTCTTCTGATCTAGACTTCCTGTAAATGTGTGAGATTTTAGAATAATGTGATTATGTACCATCACTTGCAAATGATCTTATGATGTACTATATCAATATGGATTCTTGTATACAATTGTTGGAAACCATGGCCTCGTTTTGTTTCTAAATATTCTAATGGACAATAAGTGGATATGTACAGTACAAAGAGCATTGTTTTATACTCATCTATAAAACTCATCTAGATCAAAAAGTCTTAAATCATTAAAGTAACATAACAGACTCAGCATTTGTTGTACTGCCATATTTTTACTCCTTTCAAACTAATACACTGACCACTTAAGTCTATGATGTTATTGGATGTCCATGACAGGGTAGTGGGAAAAAAAATATTGTAACCATCACAAAAACAGGAAAAGTCTGTTCAATTCATATGACAGAATACCTTGAGTGTGTGCAACGTTTATTGCTGTAAAAAAATTCAAACGTTCTAAGAAAAGGTTGTTGTAGAATGGCAAGATATGTCCAGGGATTTGTTTTAAGAAGATTAATAATAGACTGTATCAATCATTTGTCATTCAAAAATGATTTGAATTGATGTTTCAAAATAAAAGAACATCATAAATACACTGCATTTTTGTAAACTAAAACAAACTAAAATATGTAAATGCAAAGATGTAATTGAACACACGCCTACAAGTATTTGTCTCTCTTTGCTAGCTAATCTCTAACCATTCTGTCCTATACATGCTCTTCCAGCTCCAGCTGGAAATTTACAAACAAACGCCATGTGATCTTACTGTAGCCTAGAGTAGTAAGTTCTGTTAAGAGCTACATATTCAACACTGCTGGACCTGTACAGATGAGATGCAGGATTTAGTGTGCATCTATACCCTTCTGCCCATTGAATTTATTTACATGAGCAACTACTGCAGATTGATATTCTAGCATATTCTTAAAAGAAAAAGGCACTATTTTTAATGTGCAGGTAAAAATTGCATTAAAAACACTCACCAAACATATCATTTGTAAATTATTCCCAGATTTGATACATTTTTGTACTAAGTAATAGTCCTGCACAAGTAAGGCATCAATTAGTACATTGTGCAAAATGTTGGTCATCAGATTATAGAAAAGACATTACTACTCTGGAATCCATCTAGAGAAGACCAACCAGATACCTCCCATGTCCTACAGACAGAACAATCTGGGCTTTTAAGTCTTGAACATAGAAGACTATGAATAGATCTGACTGGAATATTCAAAATCCTCAATGGCATTTCCAAAGTTCATTCAGTGGAGCTCATTAGAAGAAACATTTAAAACATAGAACAGTGGAAACAAGTAAAAAAAAACATGGAAGTAAAATCATGTCTGGAGCAGCTTCTTTACCCCTAGGGTTGTGGGAGCATGGAACAAGCCTCCCATATTGGTGAATGTGGCTTCTTTCAAGAAATGGCTAGATAGGATCCTTGGTTCAATTAGTCACTAACTACCAAATACTGTAGGTTTGAATGAACTAGTTTTTAACCATTCTTATGAATATGTGTTTTTTTTTTTCAAAAAGGCATTTATCATAATTTTATGAATCACTTTCAGGAAATGCAAATGAGGGAAAAGGTATCTGTTCTGGTACAACAATAGCAACACTGACAGTAGGTTTTATGTGTATAACCTCCATTATATCTTGATTTCCTTTTACTCTCTACCCTTTTATTTATTTTATTTTTGGCTTGTACAGGCTCAACAAGATACAGAGAATTACTTAGCAGTTTTTTCATTTAGTCATATTCTCTTTCAGGTGTAATATTTGCAGAATTAAAAGGGATCCTGCTATGGTTTGTGTTCTTTGTAAAATGATACTTTACAGCTTACTTACTGCACATAACCTTTAAAAAGAGAGAATGCACTGTTATTTTTAAAGGACTAAAAAGCAGGAATGTAAAATTTCACACGCATCGTAACATTTACCTGACACCATGTGCATTCACCCTAACTTCCTTGTGTCTGGGATTGAATTTCCTATTCATTCCCCTCTTTGCTTCAGTTTCACGCTGTTAAAAGCTAACTTGGACAGTTATCCAGCACAATCTGAAATGCCTGACCAGCCAAAAACTGACCTCTCATACACTGATCTTCATCTGTAACCCAATAGTGTAAATCTTATCTCACTCTTACACGTAATACGCTCTAAAGACTTTTTCAACTGAATTCTTCCTCTTTATTGATCAAATAAAAGCTAAAATGTGTAAAAAGACAAGCAAAGAGACAGGAACTTGGTTGCATTACAATGATGATGTATTAATTTTCATTTATATAATAAGGTTCAGACATCCAGAAACCTCCAGTCATTGGAAAGAAATGAGAAATTGATTCATTGTTGTTTAACAGGATCAAGAGGAGGTTTGGGGAGTTTCACAAGTAGTTTAAAATGATACATAGCATCAAATAATTAAAACCCTTGAATTGATGCAAAGTTATACACTATGCAGCTATAAGTATAGTGGAGACGTGTTTAAACCATCTGACGGTTGAAGCAGTGTCCTTGGGAATCACATTTGTTTCTTATTTTTATTCCATCTCAAACCATAATGACTTAGTTCCATGGTTCTCAAACTGTAGTATGCGTACCAATGGTGGTATGTGGAGCGCCCTCAGGTGGTATGCCAGATGACCCTGGAACTTTGTTGTGTGCACTGAAAAATTGGGACGGTTTTTCATGTTTTCATGTTTGTGTCAAATACACACCCTACATACTTAGCTAGGACGATACAGCGCACGCTAATACTTGAGTGGACACAAGAGCTACTATGTTATTCGATACCATTGTATAGGAATGCGTGCTACGAACCTAAGTGACCAATTGTATTAAAATAAGTTTTCCTTAGCAAATAGGGAGGTAGGAGATTTTGGAACACTGCAAATCTTGTAAGCACAGGAAAGCGTGATAGATAACAGAAAAATATTTAGGGACTGTTCTAGGTTAATTTGAGAAAAATACACCGAGCATCTCTGTGTTTTGCTCCCATGCGCTTTAAAAAAACTTATTTTAACTTCTGAGACAGACTCCTGTATGTATTTTAAGGGGAAACGGGGAAAAAATTCTCCAACAGCACCACATTCGCCAACAGAACAATTGAGTACCTTGCAAAAATCAAGTATTATGTCATGGCTGAAAGGAGTAGACGCCAGGAGTACTGATTTTTCTGTTCTGTAAGCCACAACCAACAGGAACTACAGGAGAGCACAGATTTCAGCTTTTATCTTCAGCTTCAGCTTTATTGAATTTATCAAAGAGAATGGCATCGACTGGAAAAAATGCTTCGGAGTTTGTACAGACGGTGCTAGAGCGATGACAAAATGACACAGCGGTGTAGTTGCATGAATTAGAGAGGTTGCTCCAGATATGAAGTGGACGCACTGCAGCATCCACCGCGAGGTCTTGGCAGTCAAGCAAATACGTGAGGATTTCAAATCTGTTAGACTTTGCTGTCAAAGTTGTGAATTGTATCAAGGCTCGACCCATGAATTACTGCGGCTCAGTGTGTTTTGTAATGAAATAGGCAGCGGACATGTGTAGCTTTTGCTGCATACTGAAATGAGATGGTTATCAAGGGGCAAAGAGCCCACGAGGTACAGATGTTTTTGCATGACCAGTAGTCTCCCTTGGCAAGTCTATTTGATGTCCAGTGTGGCTGGTAAAATTACCCTACCTGGCTGATATATTCTCACATTTGAGCTGAATATGGGACTGCAGGGACTCTGTGTCTGACAAGATCACTGCTATGAAGAAAAAGCCACAGCAAAATGGATGCTGCGCCAGATCTGCGTTTGAAGCTCACTGCCCTTGTCCCTGACATTGCAAGGCTTTGCTTGACTAAACAGGTACACCCCTCTCACAAAATTGGTAAATGCTATGTGCTATTTTTATATATGTGTGTGTGTGTGCGAGCTCATGTTGGCCATTGAGATTTTCTGTTCCTATGAGGAGATGACTTATAGGTGGTACTTGGGTGCTTTAGTTTGATCAGGGGTGGTACTTGGTCCAAAAAGTTTGAGAACCACTGACTTAGTTGATCTAATCAAATAGACAAGAAAACAGATCAGCTATGTTTTCAGGCCTGACCCAGGTTTCAATTGAAAGACGCCTCTAAAACCATCAGGGACATGGTTGCCTTGGATTGGGCAGTCTTCTGCAGCAGGGCTTGCATTAGCAAACTTGAGCACATTTGTTTGCAAGACCTATGTCCCAAGTAGACTACTGCTCGTAGATTGACCTTCATTGCACCTTTTTGAAGAAGGAATTGGAAGTGATGGAAATTTGTGAAGCTACCTTACTGATGAGTGTATTACCTCATGCTTCTTTTGCATGGAAGCTATAATGTGGAGGTTCTGTAATTACAATTTTGAGCAATCTTTCCAGGCCGGCGTGTTGACCTAGTAGTTTGTTTCTGAAAGAGCAACTTTTAGCCATCACGCAGCTTTTTATAATTCCATTTATATCTTCCACTTAATTTAGTGTTCCACTTTAATTAGGTGTTATAAAAGACCTTGACTCAAGGCTTGAGAGAAGTTACAAATTAGTCAAGGCTACTCAGCCTATCAACCTTCTTTGATTGTTAGTAGTTAAGTGATCTGGGCATCTCAACTAGTCATTGTTTTGAAAGCAGACAGGGTATCGGCTTTGACAACACGTCTGGGCAGCTTATTCCAGACTCCCACAGCCTTTTGTGTATAGAAGTGTCTTGTCCTCTCAGTTTTATATACACTTCCCTGTAGTTTTTACTTGTATCATTTTCACTGCTGATTGTGAAGACACAAATTAAGTTGAATTTTTTGTTTCCTTTGAGGAATACAATCCTTGAACCAGGATCCATTATAGTCTTCTTTTATCAAGACAAGAAAGTTACAGTTCTTTGTTTGAGCCCAGGAACATAACTGGTCTCTCTTTCTTGGACTCATTCCAGAGGAAGCAATATCTTTTTGTAACATTGTGGAAAAACATGTTGATTTGAATTGTACACTATTAAACTATATATGAAATAACATTCTTTTTGCCTTTTTTCTTTCACATTCTTGAACAGTGTTTCCCAAAACTGGTCCTGGAGTACTTTTCGTGGTTTTTCTGGCTTTTATTCCAAGTTTACTAGTTTGGTTAATTGACCTCTTAAATGGAGCTGTTTGCTTGTATTTTCTAAATCTTTCACTAAGGTATATTGTGTCTGTGACTTGGTTGAATTTAAAACAAGGGGTCCATTCAGCAGTGAGAATGCTTATAATGAGAATGTCTGAGAGTGTCATTTCTATCTGTGCCTTCACATCATTAATTGGTAAACAGTAAATGTTTTTCGGTTCTTTGGGAAGCAATGATTTTACACCAGTTTTGAAACAGAGTTCTGCTTACAATATTTCTTGGAAATGACACATAAATTAGACTACATATGAGGCTAGTTCCTGAGTGCAGAAAAGGTTAAAATCAATCACAATCAGTTGGTTCAATTAGGGGTTCAATAAAACTAATTAAGATCTCAGTTGGAATGAAAATCAGAAGACACAGGGGTAGTCCAGGACCAGGACTGGAAAACAGTGGTCTAGAAGATTTTTAATGAAGTGTCAACATACAGTAACCATATGTAACCAGTCTGTTTATTAAGCAACTTCTTTAAGCTAATTGTTTCCCATCTTATAGTTGTGTTGTATTTACTTTATTTTATCTAGATGTTAGTTACATACTGTACATGCAATTTTGAAGGATATTAAATGTTATTTGCCCTTTCAGCTTAGTCAGCTTTCTGAATTTCACATTTCTTTTCCCACTTCAGCAGTATTCCCTTCTCCTCCTCTTTGATGTTAGAAATGAATGTGGCTGAATCTAGATCTTAATATACATTAATTTAGATATGGTAAGTGTTGAAAGCTATTGCTAAACTGGTGATGATCCACTAGGTTAGTTTGAATTATGTAAGCTAACATGTAATTGATTTTAATACTGTAAAATCTGCATTATGTGAACTTCATCATGTAGCCTCTCTACACAAGTTCAACAATTGATTTAATACGATTAATGCATGTGCAGTATGTAATAACATAAAGTTTGATTTACCTTGTGTAAATGAGCAGAGGCAAAGTTAACAAAACTGAAACAGCACTGACGTTGGATGATTTACTTATAATATTGATTCAAAATGTATTTACGTTTTGGTTAGAAAACTTTAACAGTTTTTTTTTATTTCAAATGTGTTCACTACTGAAGTGTTTTATACTACAGGTATTTACTACAGTTTCACGTGCATGAAGCAGAGATATTTTATTTTATAATCCAAGAAATGTTGAATATTCTGCCCGTGATGCTTTTACATAGTATACATCTGTACAGAATGTAAGAGTGGCAATTAAAAGCTAAAAACTCATAAGACTGAAGTTTCAAACTCAGTTGTTTTTGTTTTGTCGATAGTGTTTCAGCGATACTGAGTGGCAGAAAGGCAAATTGTTAATAAAACATTTGATGGCTATTAATTACTTTGCTCTTAATCAGGCTGTCATGAAGATCTTGTTGGGATATTGATTTCTTGCGAACACATCCCACCGGGGATACTGTACTTTAACTTCTTCCAAGGACTCAATTAGCTAGAGTGATGCTGGGAGATCTTATGCTTTGCCTGAACTGCTGGGGCTTGTTGCCAAGATGGGCAGATAAGCCATTTGAGTTCATTAAAGGACTTAAACAGTCAAGAGAAAATGCTTTGGGGAACCTTTAAAGACGGATAAATCTTTATTTAATGTGCACGTAGCCGCATATTTACTCAATGCTATCCATCACAGTCCTGCCAGAAAGCAGGACACCGTATAGAAGCTCTTTATTAACTGATACACATTTACAGTAGAGTGTCAGGCATGGAAAGAATAAGAATAAATAAATAAGTATATAATAGACTTTGACAGCAATGCTAGACATTCTATATTTGGATGCAATATTAATTCTATTGCTTATTTTTTATTACTAGCGTCCCTTTTACATTTTTAGAATTGTCTTGAGTTTTTAAACATATGTATACGTTTGTAAGTGTTGTCTGTCAGGAAAGTACTTAAGAACCTCAAAGTGGGGGTCTGCAAACCGTTTGTAATCCAGTGCTCACAAGCTGTATTCTGTTTTTTTTCTTGCAGAGCAATTTCTGTGATGACATCTGCCTTCATCTTTAGACTGGGCGGCTTGGCTTTTCAGACATTTTTAGTGTTTGCATTCACCGGAAGTTCATTACTCATGAAAGGTAGGAGTACACCTGAAAAACATATTTGTAGTCTGTAAAAGACATAAGATTAAGATTTAGGAGAAAAAAAACTTTACTGAGGCTCCACCTGTTTTCTTTCGTTTGAAGTTTTGAATTGATTTAAAATATTATACTGTTGGGATTAACATCACCAAAAGAAAAGGAAAAGTCGGCACTATCACTTTTCTAACAATATTTTTGTATTGTATAATTATTTATTTGTAAATAGATTGTTTATCTTTCATACATAATATAATCCTGTCAAGATTTATAGTATACCTGTGACAATATAGAATTTTAGTTTTGTCTCAAAAGTAGATTCTGACCAATGCATTTTATGTACACTGGATATCTGGATATTGATGTTTTCTATAATTCATTTTAAATCTGCACCACTCTTCAGGATGGCAATCGTTCATTAGCTCTGTATTCCCTTTTCTTTAAAATGTGTGATGTCTTAGAGCGATAATACATTTTTATAGTATTAGTCTTACACTGCCAACAGCAGAGTTCATGCTGATTGGAGCATTCATGCCGCTATGACTCACAAGGATCTGCTGAATTTAAATACCTGTACAGACCTTCTAACAAGGCAGTGGTTCAGCCCCGACAGGGTAGTGCTACATGTGCAGCTTCTTTCAGGAAGCCCACTGAATAGCATTCTTTGTCAGGCACTTATCGCCTGTGAAGGTCTGTCATGACCCCTGTTAATACGATTGCATCTGCTCCGCTTGTGCTGCCATGTTGGAAATGCCATTCTGCAGGCTCTTCGATTAGGGCACAGTTATAAGCTCAAAGTCTCCTGGTAAGTCAGAAGCGTCACCTCTCTACAGAAGGTCAAGGATTGCCTGGTCAGCTCAAGTCACCTCCCCCATCCCCATTCCAGCCTTGTGTGCAACAAACTGTGCTGCTGCTTGGGGATTCCTGATCACAAGTGGCTAATGATGTAACGTAGACTCAAGCTACAGACGTCTATACCATAAACTATACCATAACTCTTTGTCTTTGCTCTGAATAAGTTCACAAGTTCACTCAGGGGCCCTCTTTACCCCTTTTTCTATCAGGACATCCTAACCTCAGTGGACTGCCTGAGGTCTGCCTGGTGTGGATTAGGAGAGTCCACACATAATCTAAAAAAGCTTGAAGCTGAAGTCACATACTGGATAAAGACAATGATGTCTAGCTGCTGCCTGTAATGTTGTGGCCAAGTAACACTGTAAAACACACTTTCTTATGCATCTTCATTATCTCTTATTACTGTGAATTTGGACCTCAAACTCAGAAAGGTTGTTTCACTCTTGAAGTGCATAACACAAATATTGTTACGCATTTTCCATGCGTTAAATCAGTAAAATAAGCTAATTAAAGCTTATTAACTGTCTCAAAATGACACATCAAAATGACAGCTAGATTAACTGTAATAATCACTGAACATGCAGAAAGCTTTTGTGTGCTGTTCAGAGCAACTAAAGATCAGATAGTCAAAACTACAGATATCACCTTCTGAATTACATGAAGGTGTGCTACAAAGCAGTATGAGAAAGTGAATGGTTAGGAACAGCCAGTATAATAAATGTATGTGGAAGGATCTGGAGAAATGAATGCCTGGCCAACAGCTGCAGAAGAGAACCAACCACATCCTTTAGAGATGCACAGGTGTAAAGCAATAAAACACGAAAATGCTAAGGTTTGGTCAAATTCTAATTAATGCTAAAAGACAAGGACATTTATAAGGACAGCATATTTAATATTTAGCATTTACTCTCTTGGCTAAGAAAATTGGAGCATGGCAATTAAGTTGTGGCTGACAAACCCCCCTTCCGATCAGTTACAAAGAATAAAGCTGAGAGACTACTGCAGCGGTGAAGGAGGGGTGGCAGGAGAGATATGAGACATGATGTGCACAAAACGGGCTCAGCAGGCGAGAGGTTTGTGTGTAAGAGAGCGGAAATGCGAGATTAAAATTTCACCACCTCCTGAACTTCTGTATGAAAACGCCATTTTATATACATACTTCTCCGCATTCTAAGGCACAGCTCTGAATGTTCTCTAAGCATATGAGTCTCTTTTAAAATATGCTTTCTGAAGAATGTTGAACTTATTACTTGTGACTTCTGACCACCAGGAGTTCTCCAAGTTCATTGTACAGGAGTAGACTGAGGGCAGAAGAGATGCATAGTCATCAAAGAAAACCCAATTTACCCTGTGTAATATGAAGGAAAGGATTTGAAAAGTTTTATTGCCTCCTTGTGTCCCAGTGCCTTATCTACCATCTTAAAAAGTTACCAAATGCTACAGTGTGGAATGAGGTTCAAGTTTCTGCTTTATTTCTTCATCAGGTGCTGCCATATTGAGCCTATGCATGCAGCATTTTCTTGGGGGACTTATAACCACTGTCACCTTCAGTATCATGATGTACTGCACACAGAAAGCTGATCAAAGAATACAGGTCAGAGGAAAAAAAAGAAATCTGTAAACCCTTTTATATTTCACATTCTTCCTTCCTTATTCCTGCAATAAGGGTTTGTGTTGTTGTCACCAAATGTCACCAGATTGTTAAGGAGAGTTGAGATATTGTTGCAGGCTAAATGAAGTGAAACACAGTTTCAACCTTGTTTGTATGATCAGGTTAATGATGAATAGAAGTATAAGAAGTAAGAAACCAGACCAGTTTTTGCTGCTTTTTTGCACCACTTTTAACATTTAAAACAGTGATTTTAATTTTTCTTTGTAATTCAGATCAGTCCTGCAAGTTTCAGCATTGGGAGTATTAAGATACTGGTAAAAAGAAACCTCAACTTCAGTATTTATACAGTAGTGTACCAGTATAAGCTGCATATTATGAGATTTTTTGCATGTTTTATTTAACTGCATAGATGTGCTTTTCACTTTGAAACTCAGTTAACTTATTAGAATTTCATAGGATGTCAGGTTTCCTTTTAAGATGTGGGATATAGCTGTTTCTACATCATAGCTCTAAAGCTACTAAAGCTCAGTCAGAAACTGAAATACAGCTTAACCAGGTTATAGTTTTGGTTTTCAAATCTAAGTATGTTAAAACAGCATGGTTTTCACCACATTCAATGACAAGGATTGTACATTTATATATTTTCCATCTGTCTGGTAAATGTTGGCTCTTGAAAGGCAAACAAATGTATTAAAAGATGATCCTGAGTGTAACGGGAATGAATTCTGTATATATAAACTATATATTATTATATGAAGTAGGTTCCAGACTTCAGTTTTATAACATTTATTTTTGTCCATATTGATTTCTTATTTGGTTGTTCATGGATTTAAATGTTGCTATGGATCACAGTCATAATAGTGTAATGGTATTGTAGAGTTTTAAAAAAATAGTAGAGATACAAACAATTGAATAATAGTCTGCCAAGCTTGATTCATACTTTATTATTAACGGTCTCCCAGCCTCTTGTGTCTCACTCCATTTTGGATGTTCAGTTGACACGTACTGTATGTACAGTACAATATATCCATTAACTAATGCATATATTATGTTTCTCTTTTCAGGCTACACACTACAGTTTCCTGGCAACCTTGGAGGTAATGGGAAAGCTCACATTCAGTGCCCTTGTCGGCGGGGTTGTGGACTGGATTGGCTTCCCAGCCAGTTTCTTTCTGTTTCTAATTCTCTCTGCAGCAGCTGTAGTGCATGTCTTTAAAGCACCAGTTAGTGGAAGCTGACCGAACACCCAATCAGAATGTTAATGTATCCTGTTGTTTTCTGAGTCTTGTCGATAGCACAATAAGGTTTCCACTTTCTTTCAAGGATGTAAAACCTGTATTTCAGTGAGTTAAATGCTTTATTTTTAAATCAGTTGTTTTACAATCTACAATAATGTAATTGCTTTGAATTAACTGTCTTGTACCTGTTATTTAGCAAACATGTACAAAAAGTGGAGACTTGCGCAGAAAATAAAATAGGATTCTGATTAGACAGTGTTTTAACTGCTCTCACAGTTTTTGTGCTTGCGTGACCTTGTTGTACTTCTTTACATAAGAACAATTCCTGAAAATGACTTTAACCATGTATGATCTAAGGGTATGTAAGTTTAAGGGTAAGGTTTTTTTCTGACTGCAGGTGTCTACTCAACCTTAAAAGATAATGTTTTTGGTTGCAATTAGACTAACCAGCAAATTCCATTGTGCCTGAACATTAGTGGTAATTTGGAAGTTGTTATTGGGGAAAAAAAGGCAGTACCATCACACCAATCATGTCAGAGAGCACGTTACTCAAGTATTTCTGAAAACTCCATTATAGGACTCTTAGCTGCGTTTTATAATGAGTAACTCAGGTCCACTAAATCTACTGTGAAATTGAGTGACAAGTATCATGTTAGAGATGTGTTTGACAGTGATTTTCATGATATTTTGCCAGGTTGTCAAATTTTGCCTAGCAAACCCTGGCAAAGCAGCAACAAAAAGTTTTTAATAAGTTTCAAGTCCATATACTGCACACGTATATGCATTAGTTGAAGGATGTCTCTTTTTGTCTCTAATTTCTAAACTGTTTGCAGTGCTGTACACTGTTAGTTTTACAGTTAATAGTTTTGAGAGTAATTTAAATCCCATGAAGATATGAAGTAAATAATAACAAAAGCACTAGAGTAACACTGGCTACTTCCACAGCCCTTTCATTGCCTGTAGATGTGAAAACACCTGCAAGCTTCTAGCCTTATCATAGCTCAGCAGCTTTGCAGCCATGGGTCACTCAGTCTCTGTATTCTGGTGTTTGGTCCCACAGTTCATCACAAATGCCTGTGGGTTTGGCATTTAGCATAAATACCAAATGCTTTGTTCTATCCGGTTAATCTGAAAAGTCACTTGATGTTGAAGGGAAGTTCAAACCACACTGACAACAGGTTAAATAGAAAAACAAAGATTTTATGTAAGAAATGTTGTACAGTGGGGTACAACATAACAAAGCAGAGCAAGAAGAGCCAAAAAAGAATGGCCACAGAGTTGCTTTGGTAAGGCAAGAAAAATGATCTATTGTACACATAAATACCTATAGACGGACTGTATCTGTTGATCTTCATGCATGCATATGCCTATAAGAACACAAGAAAAGCCATTTGGCCCATCTAGCCAAAAAACATTTCCCATAATGCCTAACACCTGTAATTTGAGAATTAATCTTTGAGATTTATCAATAATTTATAAAACAGATTTATCTATCAAACAGATTTATCTATAAAAATATAAATACACCATATTGTATTCTTTATGTGTGTCCATGTTTCTTGTTTAAAGACCTATATCCGTTTAGTTCAGCAAAACCTGTTTTTTCTAAATCCATGCTGAAAATAGCATCATACTGTATTTCCATATAAGGGATCCTCTAGTTCTATTTTTAAATAGCCTTTTAAATAAGTAAAAATAACCTTAATAACAAATATAATTCTTGGTAAATAATTACTTGGTTCAGGTCTGTCACCCATTTTATGGATCATTACTACAATAGCAAGTCCATAGGTTCTACCCTGTCTTGAGTGGCTATTGGAAGATTTGTCCATACCTTCTGAATGACATCTCTTGTTTACATAAGTGTAATTGGTGAACAGCCATCATGCCCTGGAGAGTCTTTAGTTTTTCTTATATCCAAAACACTTCACTTATACTCTTTGATATAAAACTTTGAATGTCATTGATTTTTTTCCTTGGTACATAGAGTAAAATACTCTATTTATTTCCCTTTCTTTGTATAGACATTTTTCATTATTGTCCTGGATACATTTGTTTTCTAAAGGACCTTTTATTATTTTAACCTCCTTTGCAATATTCAGTTTCATCTCTATCTCACTCTTTGACTTTCTACTTATGCTTGAAATTGTACATATTTTCTTTAAACGAATCCTACATTAGCAAGTCTACTGTCCATACTGTATGTGTTTTTTAATCATATTATGAAGCGTTTTTCAAATCTATTAGTATTTTTCCTAAATGTTTGGTTAAACCATTTGGGATACAGGCTTTTAAATTTCTTGATTGTCTCACTCTTGGGATACATATGTTCTCTGCTTTAAGCAGAATCTCTTTGCCCTTAAACTGTTGCCATCCATTCTTCAACAAATCTATGTGTGTCCTGTCCATTTCTACTTCTCCTTCCTTCAAAGTCTGCTTTTTTAAAATTGTTAAGGTTTTCTACAATATAACACACTTCCCATTATATTGTTTTAAATGTGACATGCCTGAAAGAATTCGCTATTATTTTGGCTACTTTACAACTTGAAAAATAAGTATTAAATAGCACCCATGTCTTGTCGCACAATGTCCAATACAGTCCTTCGCATTACTAAGAGAAAAGAGATAAAAATCTTATTTTGTTTAAATCTCTGTGTTTTGATTACATCGAAAAGCTAGGACAAAATATATTTTTTACTTCTTAGCTTTCATATTTAGTGAGTGTTAATAGAAGACAATAATAATGTCAGATCAAGAACCAATCAGCAGTAGCAGTGGGTGCATCTGCTGTCAGTAGAATCGCTCATTTTAAAAAAGCCTTCTGTGTGTTCATGACAGTTCAGCATCTCTAGCAGTGTTATTTCCAACATTATGGAAATCATATTTTATTTTAGTTTCTTAGTGTCCTACCTGTTCTTGCCTTTAACAGTATATCGCTTCTACGTTTACTAACACATCTGGATGATTAGCTTGCCTGTTTTAATTTTGTTAATTTTAGGATGCAGAAAAGTTTCACTATTTCTGCAGTGTCCTTTCTAGTATTGCATTCTGTTAAAAAAAAGGTGCCTTTAATGAGACAGTAGCTTTAGGAGCCAGCCTGTGTGCAGTCTCCCCATGTCTTAGCATTTCATAATAACTGCATTGGGCAGTGGTTCCCAACCCTGGTCCTTAGGGAATCCCTGTGTCTGCTTGTTTTCATTCCATCTGAGGTGCTAATCACTGTTGCCAATTGATGGTTTTAATTGGTCTTGTTTAATTTGCTTTCTTTAATTTACCTACTTCTAGAGCCAATCACAAACAGTATTCTTCCTTATTTCTGTCTAGAAAACTGTTAAGTGTTTTTTCGGTATATGATGAATAGACATTTGAGAAGAAACACTCCTACAATGAGTACTCCTCCCTCCTCCCCCATATTTCAGAAAAAAACACCTGATTGAGGAAGATACAGGCTGGATGCCATTTACACATTCTCTCAAATCTTTTTAGAATTTGGAAGCAAATTTTAAAAAAATATGCCTCAAGTGGAAAATTTTAATCAATTAACTTGCAATTAAATAATGAAGAACAGAAGACAGCGGGCTCGGGGGAGGAAAAAAAAAACATGGGTATCACAGATGCAGGGTAAAGTTTTTTTTATCATTTGGTCATCAGATTTTAGTACATTTTCCCTTTTCACATCATGTCCATTCAAATAGCAAGCATTAGTAACATAGGCGTGAAGCTTATGCTGTTGTTAAAACTGTATACACTATTCATTAGAAATCTTCACATCACTTAATGGGGTTGTGTTTACCACATTATAAGATATAATTAAAACCAGATACTTTAGCATTCTGTGACTTCACCTTCAGTAGGATTCACTAAATGGCATTGCTCCTGTCAAACAACGTCTGCACCTTGCTGTTTATTTCAGTGTTAGGACAAATTAGTTGTAGTCATCAGTCTGATATATGATTTAAGAACATAAGAAAAGTTACAAATTAGAGGAGAGTATTCATTTGACCTAATCCTCTTGGTAGTAGTTATATATTCTGCGGATCTCATCCAACCATTTTTTAATCTAGAAGAAAGAAACGTACCCTGTTTGCAAAAAGCCTGTAAAAAAGTATTGTTCCACAAAGGTGATCCTATATTACCCTACTTCAGTATAAGAGCAGTAAAATACAGTAAATAATACCCTGTTAAGCAAAAGGATATCATAACTGAAGAGATAATATGTAATTTCTTCCACAAGAGGACTACTGGTATAACAACAGAATGAGGTAAGTTTGTAAAACCTGATAGAAAACGTACTGTAGGTTCACAGTGAATATGGATCTGTGTAGATTATTTTATATGTACTGTATCATTAATAATGCCCAGAATAATCTGGCAGGCTTTCAATTAGATATGACTTTTTAGGTGCACCAAACCACAGAAGATGCCTCTTCTCTGACTGTTGAATGTTTTTAACAGTTTTTAGAAAAAAATAAAATGTTTTTTCCCCAAAGATAATGTATTTTAAATAATATAATAAACACATTCTATTTATTTTATTTTTCACAACCTAAAAAATAATTCTTACTCTTAAAATATATATTTACCAAAATCAGGCACACGTCAACATTTTGTTAATGTATCAATTGCTCTCTATTACACCAGAGTTGTTCTACACATGAATGCAGACGATAGTAGGCAATAGTCAATATGTTTCTATGTGGATGGTCAGCATACACCATCGTTCTAGAAATAGTCATTGGCTATGTAAGCCTTGATGACGCAGGACTGTTCCATTGCGATTGATAATTCTCAACATGGAGTTTTGAAGACCCAGCCTAACCAAATGGGTCTCATATGGGTTTAAGGCATTGAGAAAAAACATATTCCAAAGACTGAATTAGCATAAACAGGTAAACTGGAGTCCTGAGCCAACTAAGATCAATACTTTCTTGTCCAAAACTACCAAGACCTGTCAAAGTGCCCAAGCAACAGTAATTTATACTCCAACATGAATGGAGTAATTCAATTAAACTTTGTCATTGTACTTACACAGGTGTATAATGAAAAGTGTTTCTCATTAGTCTCTCAGGTGCAGTATACAGTATATACAGAACAGCAGACAAGACAATAGACAGTAAATACAATAACAATGACAGTGTAAACAACAGTATGGTACCAGTGCAACAGTACCCATATCTGTTAAAAACTGAAAAATAATACGGCGATTATCAAATAGTACAACTACAATCAAGTTCAAGTTTCACGTTCAAGGCT